AGGCTTTGGACACTGTCTCCCATCACATCCTTGTAGGTAAACTCAGGAAGTGTGGGTTGGATGAGTGGACGGTGAGGTGGCTTGAGAACTGGCTGGATGGCCGAGCTCAGAGGGTTGTGGTCAGTGGTGCAGAGTCTAGTTGGAGGCCTGTAGCTAGTGGTGTGCCCCAGGGGTCAGTCCTGGGTCCAGTCTCGTTCAACTCCTTCACCAGTGACCTGGAGGAAGGAAGAGAGTGCTCCCTCAGCAAGTTTGCTGATGAGACTAAACTGGGGGGAGTGGCTGACACACCAGAAGACCGTGCTGCCCTTCAGAGGGACCTGGACAGGCTGGAGAGCTGGGCAGAGAGGAACCTGACAAAGTTCAAGAAAGGGAAGTGCAGGGTCCTGCACCTCGGGAGGAATAGGCCCCATGCAGCAGGACAGGCTGGGGGTTGACGTGCTGGAAAGCAGCTCTGCGGAGAAGGACCTGGGAGTGCTGGTGGACAACAAGTTAATCACGAGCCAGCAGTGTGCCCTTGTGGCCAAGAAGGCCAATGGGATCCTGGGGTGCATGAGGCAGAGTGTTGCCAGCAGGTGGAGGGAGGTGATGCTGCCCCTCTCCTCAGCCCTGGGGAGGCCTCACCTGGAGTACTGTGTCCAGTTCTGGGCTCCCCAGGAGAAGAGAGACATGGCACTACTGAACCGAGTCCAGTGGAGGTCTGCTGAGATGATGAAGGGACTGGAGCATCACTCCTATGAGGAAAGGCTGAGGGAGCTGGGCCTGTTCAGCCTGGAGAAGAGAAGACTGAGAGGTGATCTGATCAATGTGTGCAAGTATCTGAAGTGGGGGTGTCAAGAGGATGAGGCCAGACTCTTCTCCGTGGTGCCCAGCGACTGGACAAGAGGCAACGGGCACAAACTGAACCACAGGAAGTTCCACCTAAACCTGAGAAAAAAATTCTTCACTGTGAGGTTGCCTGAGTACTGGCACAGGTTGCCCAGAGAGGTAGTGGAGTCTCCTTCGCTGGAGATGTTCAAAACCCGTCTGGATGTGATCCTGGGCAATATGCTCTAGAGGACCCTGCTTGAGCAGGGGGGTTGGACTAGATGATCTCCAGAGGTCCCTTCCAACCAAAACAATTATGTTATTCCTGAGCTACAGCATGCTAATTTACATGCTAACCTATGCATTGTGTTGGCATCCACCCTGCTGCCTCATATACAGCACCAAGCAGCGCACAGAAAGGACTTAAGAAACAAGTTTCAAGTGCTGAAGTGTCATCAAGCGTCAAATGACTGTGCTGCAAGTCTGGACAGGGCAGCTGTGGTATTTCTATTTCGGCATGACAAAGGGTGTTTTTCTGTTTGACAACTACCAGGTTAGGAAGGGCTAATCAACCACATTTGGGGCAGGGATGTGACTAGGGAACTCAAGAGCTGGTATACCATGGGAGAAACATCTGGGTTAGCTTGCAAAGCTCCAAGTCAGGCCTCCAAGAGCCTGTTCTCAATGACCTGCCATGATGACTGTGAAGAGCACTGCTGATGAGAGCCCATCTATTGAAATACTGCTCCGACCCAGTCAGAAGAGTTTCCGGTAGACTAAAAGCTGGAGTTGTTTAGGTGGGAGTATGTGATGCTGGGCCAAATGAAGGAAGTGGAAGCTAAGGAAATATGATGCAGCATGCTTTTTGATAAAGCCACTGATTTACTGATGATATCAGTAAATCATATGCATTTTGTTTTCCTTTGCCAGGGGCTGCCAGGCCATTGCAAGGGTTTTCAGAGAGATCCAGTTTTTTTTCAGTTCTTAGATCAGGAAGGGGATCCATTGAATGACTTCTCTGCTCTATTTCTGAAGCCTGAGAGTATTCTCCACAAACAGTTTGCCTTTCTGTGATGTTCACCAGTTCTAATGACTTTCATTTTCATCTTTTTCATTAGATTAACCAGATGTTAGGAAATCCTGTGGAAGATGAGAAAAATAAAGTAAGCAGCAACTGCTGTATGTTTAGTTCCCGTAACAATAGTTTTTAAATTCTCTCTTGAAGTTTTGTGGTGCCGTCCATTGTGCCCAGGACTGAGAGGCCATAGAACTGGGATGGTATGTTCCTTTCCATTTGGATTTGTGAAGCTACACTTGTGGCAAGGGGAAGGATGGGCTACATGCTGCAAATATTTCAACTGTGGAATTTGTTATGAACAGTTTTGTGAATGCCAGAAGGTTATATGGGTTCAAAAAGTGACAGAAAATGCTGTGAAAGAAAGATCTATCAGTATGTATTACACACAAAAATTCCAGCCTCTGAAGTCCACAAACTACTGGGAGAGTAAAACAGAGGAAGCATCATATAAGCTTGTCCTGTTCTTAAATTCTTTTCCAGGTCTTTGCATATGGCAACTGTTAGAGAGAGGATACTTGGCTATGTGGATCATTGGTCCAGTCAAGTGTGGCTATTCTTATGTTTTTTTTTTTTTTTTTGTATTACAGATACAGCAGCTCTGGCAATGTTTAGTTAGACTCTGTGGCAAAGAACGCAGTTGACAGGACAATGATACCATCACAAGAATAGAGCAGAGGGTGATGTTGATGACACCTCTTGGTTTACTGAGTAATACTTGCATTTGGACCTCTTCAGACAACTGTTACGTTGTAGAAAATGCCATTAATCAGTATGACCTAGAAAACAGAAGGAATGCTAGCTTAAGAAGGCAAATAGGAGCCCAACAGCTATGCAGTTGTGTTCTTCCCTTGGATCATTCTACTTAACTTTCTGAATCATTGAGAGAACACAAATTGCAAGTTACAAAAAGCTCTGCTCTAGAGCTAAGAGTCGTGAACACTTCTCAAAATGATAATTCCATTTCACATCCTCTGAACAGAGTTTTTTTCCTGAAATACTCTGAATACTTTTTTTCTTGCAGTGAAAAATGTGATTAATCAAATGCTATGATATATATTCAGGAAGGATCACAGTAACTAGAGGTGTTCTTCATGTAAATACTCCTGATTAGTTCTGTACTTAGCACATTTCAGTTGTAAGGTTTTGAATTTCAGAATCTGGTACCCTCAACAAAAGGCTCAAGAGCAGAAGACTGCCCTTTTGGAAAAAAAAGCAGGGAAGAAAGTGGAAGCAAGAGAGGCAGGGGAAAAAGACTGGGAAGTGTATAGCTAAATGTCCAACCTCCTGGAAGCAGTGAACTTTTTAGTTCCCAGTGACAGGCAAATTCTGAATATCTCTTTCACTCAAGTGGGAGCATTTTAGGGGAAGAGAATGGACAAGGAAGGGAAAAGCAGGAGGCTGGGGAAGTAAGTAAGAAGAGAGAAAGAAGGATAGCAATCAATGCCCAAGACAATTTTTAGAGTTTTCATTAAATCAGACTGAATAAGTCAAATGAAAGCTACTCACTGTCCAAGAATGGCAGTGTGAGCCTTCAGTCTGGCACACTCCTGCTTTACAGGCACCAATCCATGGCTTTGTACAGTAAAAAAAAGTCTTTGTTTTCAAGCAACATCTTACATTCCCTGTTAGTGCCAGAGTCTTCACTTCATTGTATGCCATGCACAGTTTTCTTTGTGATTGCCCTCCTAAATGACTGCTGAACAGTGGTGTCCCATGACAAAATATTTTCCTGTCCCTAATCATTAGTACAGGTTGCATAAGCTTTTGTCATTGACAGTTTTGTGAACTACTGTTAGTTCCTTGTTCTGTATCTGGTATGCTGGATATGGCCTAGCTAAGCCACCTGTGTAGCTTTTTTTACATCTTTGTTGCAGTGGCTTTTCCCAAGGGTTGGCAGAATTTTTGTCACTCTCCAGAAGAGAAGGAGATCAAGGATCTTATCCCAGCTCTGGGCAGATGAATGACACCTGGCCCGGTGCTGATTTCAGAAATGTGTAATTGAAAATGTGTCAGCTTTAGCTTCATGACTGCATTCTCACAGGGAGAGAACCTCTGGTTCACAGAACACCTGAGCATGAGGTAAACAGATATGTCAACTCCGGTGGAAGGCAAAAAGCACCTAGCTGCCTGCCGACATAAGAAATAATGTTGGTAAGGTGTCCATATGAAAAATAACACAGATTAACTTTACAGATTAATTCCAATTTGGAAGACAAGCAAAAAGGAATGAAGAATACAAACTGCCTCTTTGATTAATACTGGGAATTGTATCAAGTGAAAGTAGCTCATTTCAGTGAACAAAAGTTGAACTTCCTGTAACTTGAACACCCTTGTCACGGGTTAAAAAACCCTGAGTGGTAACAGCAAGATTAATTCTTCAACTTAGTCTGTGTTTTTCTCTCTTCAGTTTCTTGTGGACCTGCTCATGCATGGTTTGGTTGTGGCTTTGTGGCTTTGCCTGAATAATGGCTATGCAGTTCACTACCAAAAGAGCAGGTGTATGTCTAAAAGAGCCACGGTTCAGGTCACATTTTCTGCATGACCCAAGGAGATGGTAAACAATTTGTGCTACTAACCTACAGCTTACTTTCTTAGAACACCAACAAGCACAAAGTGCCATTTTACTACCTTGCTTGAAAGAGCAACACACATACCTGCTGATGAGATGAGTAGCCTACTTAGGAATGTAGAGGGACCTCCTATACTCCCAAAAGGGACTAGAATCACAATTCACTCCAACTTCACAAGCCATTCAGTGCCTAATATAGCCTGAAACTTACCTTCTCCAGGACATATATCTCTTCCATAAATGCACAATTTATATCCATATTTATTTTCTAGAACATCTGGCAGAATTTGGTAAACAAAATTTTCCACAAAATTAGCTTCACTGGTGCGGCTTTTGGGGTAGATAATATATGCATCGTATATCTTCCCATCTGCAAGGTAGAATAGAAAGAAAGTTCATGGCATTAACATGGAGCAAAGCTGTCTATTACAAGAGCTAAAAAAGAAATTTTAAAAAATAGTCTTTGAGATAGATCTAATCTGAATAATATACATCACTGGATATATGTTTGGAAAATAGAGACTCTGCACATTTGGTGTTTAACAAGTTGTTATGTCTTGTACATCTGTAAATTCAAGGAAAACAACTTTCATATTATGAAGGCTGTATCCCAAAGTATGTGGAGTAAGAATTCAATTGACCAGTGCATATTAGGATGAAACAGAGATGAAGTTCAGCATTTGTTATTTCAGTGATACAATAGACTTTTCTCCATAACATTTAACAGCCTTTGTCTTGTAAGACAAGACACTCCACTTGGATTCTTCCTTCTTGAGGAAATTACTAATTGTTCCCATGAAATATCATATTTCTGGGTAAAAAACCTCTTTACTCAGGAAGTGGTCTTACAGTCAGAACCAAGTGCTAAGTCAAATATTTTCTTCTGTCTTTTTTGTTCTTCGTTTCTTTCAAATACGTTTTCCTTTATACCATTTGCTCTCTAATCTGAAATGTTTCCTTCCTTCCTATCTGGTAGAGATCGTTGTATCCCTTCCTTAGTCTAAATGATTTCAGAAGGCATGAGAGAGCGAAGAATCAGGCTCTGAGGTCATATGAGTTTAGTAAGAAACTTTCAGATTCAGACATTTTCATATGATATGCCTTTTCCATTTTTTTAATCTTTTTGCATAATTCTTACTCACCATCCTTGGCTGAGTAGGGTTGAAATATGTCCCGATAGAATAGGACAATATCAACTCGGAAAGACTGATAAATTACGACAGAGACTGCTATTATTATTAACAGAACTAGAAATCCTATGATCATGAGGACACTGGGGTGATCCACTGCAAAGAAGAGAAATAAAGAAAGTATTAGCTGTAGAGAAGTTAACCTGCAGGCTGAAGCCTCAGTCTCTTGTATCCTTACTTCTGCTATGGCTTTAAGGACTCACCACAGGGGCTGCAAAACTTTTTCCTTCCAATTTGGTGCAGTCAAAAGAGAGGCCTGTTGCACCTCTGTTTTGCAGAAGCATACTAAACAGTGTGTAATTAATAGCTGCTTGCTTTGAATAAAGGCAGAAATATACTAAACTACCACAGCTGGCAACAATGTATAAGTATTTTGTAACATTGTGACATTGTTAATAACATAAACAACACCATATATATATTTTGTAACACAGCTGAGCATAAGTATAAAAATAGTAAGTAGCCACAAATGGACAAGTAGAAAGTTATGGTGTAGATATACAAACAGGGCACAGAGAAACATGTGCAAATAATAAAATCTGCAAGATAAGAACAAAGTATGCAAAACGCTTAAGCAGTAAACCAGAACAAGTCCTGTTCATAAAAATAAGATAAAATATGTAGGAGACGGCTGAGATTCTCCCCCTCCTTTTCCTTTGAGGAGCATAAAATATCCGTGATGAGGAGTAAGAAAAAAGAAAGAAGTCACCCACTTCAGTTCCAGCTTCCCTCATGGGAAGAGCTCTTGCATCTGATCCTCAGCCTCAGAGACTATCAAGGACTGCAGCCATTAGCTCTGTGCTATTGTAAACTCACAGCTAATTTTGGATAAGATTGTGATTGACACTCTTCTAGGGAATATCTGTGTTCCTATAACAGCCTAAACTTCCTGTCATTCTGTAATTCATGTAATAGAAGTCAATCTACATGACATCTGGTCCTGCTGCAGTAAGAGATGATGGGAGCTAGAAGCAAGATTATTTCTACCTCCCTCCAAGCTAAAATGGTAGAGGGTTCAAAAGCGTAAATCCACAGATTGTTACAGCCAAAAAACTGAAGAAGGTATTTTTGGCCTATGTCCTGGACGTATTGAATTAATCCAGGATTCAGTACTGAAAGCAGTATAAATTCCAGATAGCCAAGTTCGAAATTAAAACATCAAAGAATGGTTATACAAGGAGGATGCATTATCCCTTTGGAGGGAAGAGTAATGGCAGTTGCCTCGTAATAGAAATCTGTTCCAAAGCAAGTAAAACATACACAATTTCATTCCTCTTAGTTTTAACATGTAGACTCAGCAGTTCCATGTACATTTGCTCTTTGATGGCTAAACCAGGGTAAGAGATTTCCATTTGCAATCCCTCTTCTTCACCTACTTATTCCAGACCAGCATGACAATTCATCACTCTCTATTTGTACTAATATAATTGCTTTGGGACTTCTTTGTGATTCAGCTCCCTGAAATCATTTAGATTAAAAAATATACCTCCAAAAGAGTTGGAATGGGTGATGGACTTTTATCCCCAAAGAAATGCATGTGGGAATGTCTAGATTGTGCATTACGTTTGTACAAAAGGGCCTACCTATATTTTTATTTTACTACAATGTAGCGAACTTAATAATTTCTAGATGCAATCCCCTGGTTTGGAATATCACTGGAAGCATGCATCTCTCCAGTGTTGCACTGAAATTGGAGGCCTGATGTAATCTCAGAACTGTTTTAGCTGAGGAAAGAAGTATTCCTTTGAGTTTTCCTTCACAACATCCCAGCCCTTGGAGGGTGATTACATGTAGTGGTAGCCACTCCACTCAGCCAAGCTTCATACATTCAAAGTAGGGATCAGACCTCCAGGGCTTTGCCTACCTCTCCCTGCAAAATACACACAAAACATGCGGGTGCAGCAATAGCAGTAAACATTCCTGCAATAAGATTATTAATGTGGGTAAGAAAATAACCAGTTGCTTTTATAGGGAAGTTTAGCTATCTAGTAGCAGCAACTATGTCATGTTGTACCTAGGAAGGAATGTTGCCCTTGCAGACTTCTTCAAATTAATGATTTGATCCATTTTCCCCATTAATATACAGACACACAATATCAGAAAAATACCTGGTGAGGATAATCCGAGGAACAGAGATTGCCACTATTTCCTACTATTATTTCATTTGTTGACAGTGTGCTAGCACAAACAGTTCCAACCCACTGTCTAAATATCTAGAAAATGACTAGAAAAATAAACAGGTTCCAACAGCAACTTCTGTAATTATGAACCTTAAAGGAGCTATTTGTATTTAATTTTCCACTGATCAGACCAAGGCTGAAAAAAGTCATAAATTTCCTGTGCTTACAAAATTTGTAAAGCCTCAGACAAGAACCCCCATAGGATTCTTCCTGGAAGAGCAGGTTCAGTTCTCAGTACGACTGAGTCAGCCTCTCATTTCTCTGGAATAAATCATCTATACTTCAGTAAAAGGAGGGCAGCAGCCAGAAGCCTCTTTTGCAGGCCTTGAACAAGCTATTCAGATCCTGACGTTCCATTTGACTTCACTGCATCATTTAGCACCAGAGAGTTCATAAATAGATTGTCTTTTAAAATGACTTATTTGTATTCAAAAGCAATATGAATACTTAATTGTATGCTCACACACACACACACACAAAAATAATAATTGAGAGACCAGAGAAAATAAGTCAGAAAATAACATTTGAAGGCATCTCCTGACAGATGCTGAAGAACTTTTTTTATAACTTCATTGGCTTTGCAGTTGAATACACATCCAGATAGCAAAGGCAGAGAGCTGGGTCTCGGAATTCCTGTCTGCATCTGTCTGCATCTGTCTACCGGAGATGAGCCCAAAGGTCAGGTCCAGTTTTAAATATCTCTGAGGAAGAACAGACCTGATGCTCTGGGCTGAACTCTGTGCAGAATGACTGTAATTTCTGGCATTGTACCTAGCAGGGAGTTCACAACAGGAAGATTTGCATTCCTCTAGCCATTTTACACCTGTTGGTGAATGAGAAGTGAGCAATACTAACCCAGGAAGAAACAAGATGATACTTGCAGCATGTAATGCCAGTGATTTAATCACCTCTGAATGAAGATGCAGCTAGAAAAAAACAGTGGCAGCTTATATTTTAATTAAAAGGGAAGCATTCTGGAGATACTCAGACAATCCCTGCATTCCCTAGAGGACAGATTAAAGGGATGTTGAAGCTATGTTCCTATCCATCCCTGACTCAGCTCTGCTGGTGAAAGGAGTTAGCACTTTCAATGTTTTGACAATTACTTGTCATTGCCTCTCTATCAGGAACTAACACCGTCCCAGCTCTGCCAGCAGAGCTACTCCTGTGAGTGTCAATCCATTGCCCTCAAAGTGAGATGAATTTGCTTGAACAGTATAGCTGATCAGTTTTTGTCATCTTGGAGAGATGGTATCTTCCAGCTTGAGAGATACCAAGCAGCTGTGGAGGGCAACTGGGAATAGTCTGGCAGGCAGAATGTCTGCCTCTTGCCAGGTATCTGGCAGGACTAGCTACATCTTAGCCATGGAAGAAGGACGAAAAGGGAATTAAAAGTTGTCATAAATTCCTCAGATTTGCAGTGAAGAGAAACCAGAACAAGAAGTTATGCATATGATCTCAGAGCATGTCTTGTGGTAGAGAGGGAATGTGGAATATGAGATGATCACTATTTCTGGAATTAGAAAGGGAGACTTAGGATTGAAAGATCTGGCAGGAAACGAGGCAGCCCATATTTTCTGTAAAGAGGGATTGAGAGACATTAGGAATGTTTTTAAGAACAGGTGTTGGTGAAGGAATCAGAAGATACTAGAGAGCCCCAGGAAAAACAGAGAGAGAAAAGATGGGAAATTGTGTTGAAGAATGGTTCCATATTGCCTGGGGATGATCAAAGACTGTACAGGAGATGGATGAGAAAAGACAGAGAAAGAACTTCCTCAGCCTGAGAAGCAGCAGCCTGTGAATGTAGCAGCAGCAGTTGAAAGAGGCGGACATTGGCACTTCCTCGTGGGATGGATAGATGAAAGCAAGAACATAGTTATAGAAATCGTCAAAGTTCATACCCAAATCCTCATTAAAATTCTGCTATTAAAACAGAGAAAGAATTTGTCTGATTTCCCTCTGTCTGAAAGATAAAGTATTATTCCTCGTCTGGATAATGCCAAATCACACCAAATGGAGCTGACCGCATCGCATTACTTCTGGTAACCGATGTACTTGGCTCGTGTTGATCACTTCTAAAGAGCTAATTAGTTTCTCTAAGCAGGCATTGAGTTGTAGCATTTGCCTCATATCCAAAAAGACAAGTGGAAAAAAAAATCCTTGAGACAGATAATACGTTCACCTTCCTGAACTCTTCCTCACCTACACAAGTGAATATGTGCATATTTACATAGCATATATCCTAAATGGAAAAATACACTTTTTTCCTGTGAAAAGTTAAGCAAGCCTTGCCAATCACAACCTTTCCTGGCAGTATTAAGGGAGTATATTTGTTTGCCATGGAGATAAAACAAACAGCTGTCACCACCCTTGCCTGTGAAACAAACCTCTCATTTTTTCTTCACTGTTCTCTTTAGCAGTTTTTAATTCTTATGCGGATTACTATGTTATCAATGCAAATTATTATTTAATTATAATGATACTGCTAACTGAACTAGTGGCTGAAGTATTTAATTAGGATTCACAAGATTAGAATTAATTCCTGGTTCCCATGGCAACTTTCTATGCGATGGGCCAAATCACTCATTCAGCAAGTTTTTGGAGAGAGAGATTATTTATTTATTATTTATTACTGTAAGACTGAAGAGGTTCTAACACGGAGGAGCTCTGATGCGAACACCTACAACATCTTCACTTCCTCCCTTAACCTGCCATCTGTGCTACTGCACATAATTTAACTAGGTCATGAAATGCCCCCCAAACTGCCTTACTTCAGTAGAAGGTGGCAGAACACCTATTGATCTCTTACTGCCTATCAGAAATTTGTGCTACAAATAATCATAATGTAAGCCTTACTGAATGCCTCGAGAAAAATCCAGAATATACAGCAAGACTGTGTGTAAAAGTCCATTAACATTATAGTAAGTGGGTGACAAAAGACAGGCTGCAGAAAAGACAAAGGAATAACCATGGATTTTTTAAAATCTGCTTTTTCATTATAAAAAAAAAGAACAGTACACATTTTTATTGCATATTTACAGGACATGAGACACAAAGAAATCCCTGCAGCATTTTTATTATACTTAGAGGCAAGCCATCACTGTTTTAGCATAAATATTGCTGAGCTGTGGGAGGAACGAGTGAAGAAAACTAAAGCAGAGCATAACCATTTCTGGATGTAGCATCGCTTACACCAGCAGTGGTGAGCAGCAGAAGCGGGCATCTTGACAATAGCAGCAACAAGGAGAAGGGGATAGACATCCACATAAAACAGGCAGCAGCAAAGTAGGTCACAGTCAAGAGCTTTCATGAACATTTACTGAAGACCTATGGACAAAAACAAAGTAAGATATGTGTACAGAAGGAATCAGACTTAATGAATCACTTAATCAATACAGAATATCAAATTATTTTTTCCTTCATTCATCCATCATTCCTCCATCTAGTTTGTATGAGGGGTCAGTAAAGGACTTGTATTGGCTGAACTAGAGCAGGAAGTGTTAATTCAGTACTACACTCCAGTTTCCTTCCCTTTCATTGCAAGTACACTTCCACACTCAAGTACTTCAGCTCAGAGCTGATGTGTGCTGCTGCCCTCCCGAGCTCTGCTACGCTCTCGCTCACTTAGTAATATTCAAATAAAACATCTCCTATTACTTTCTTCTGGTGGGATTCTATGCTATCTGCTGAATGATGACCTATCCTCTGTTATAATTCACCTACATTGCTTCCTCTCTAGGCTACAGCAAGGAAATATGTCTAGGTTTGAAGCCATAATCCTGTAGGAAGTCATAAGTAGTCAAGAATACTGCATGACATGTTGCTGTGTGGACTGCTGTGATCACAGTAAACCTGTTCCTACTGTTTGAACCATTCTCTCATAGAGAACTAAATCTAGTTAAAGGCCTCTTGATTTCTTCTCAAGGTCCTTGGTGACTCAGAATATCTGAAAGAGTAAGAAAGGAAGCCACTGACCACAGCTTCTTGTTCTGCCTCCACAGGCACAGAAACATTTATAGCTTAAGAGTCAAACTCAGTGGTGCTGGAGACAGTGTCTTCTCAAAGGTCTGACTGCCACCATGTAACAAATTCCCATAGGAACTAAAGATCATCTTAGACCTCATTATTTACTGCCCTTGCCTTTTCTTTTCTGATAGAAATGACTGGAACCATGACTTTAAAAATGAAACCAACAGAAAGCCTTCAGTGTGGCCCTCACAACTCTGTGTGGCACACGATCAACAGAGGGAGAGAGGATGAAGCCAGACGTGTCAGAAGTTAATCTACTTAATGTTCAACTAAAAAACAAGGGCACTACAGTGATGGATGTGGTACAGGAAAGAGGAGGGGAGGGAACAGGAGGGAAGGGAAACAAACTGGCAAACTGGCAGCTGAAACTCCACTTTTAAAATTTGCTTATTTTCTGTCATTGTTCTGCATGACAAACAACAGTTTGATTCTCAAAAGAAGGTGTATCTCTGCTTCTCACAACACATTTTAACAATGCTGACAAAAGGTGAGGTCAGTTCTTTGCCAGGCCATCCACAGAGGCTTCTTTACAACCTGAGTTTTTTTTCTATAGTGGACTGCATTAAACTAGTGTGCTTTGAATTCAGGTGCAAGGCATGCCTTCAAGGCAAGGGAAATTTGCCACTAAGCAGGATCATCCTAGAAACAGGATACTCTTAATGCAGGGCTGGAACACTCTCCTCCTCTTCCTGTTTAATCTCTCACTGGTACCATTTGAGTAATGCCCCCTCCCTGGCAGAGGCAACCCTCAAGACATTTTGTAGCCTAATGAAGCCATGGAAATTTTACCCCTGACTTCAATACGTAGCAGACTCTTTTTTTCTTTTGTTAATGGAAATAATAGTGATATCAGCAATATATTTTTGACTTTTCAAACAGAATGTAAAGACTGTAAGAATATAAAATGAAAAAATCCTACCCTTACATTGTGCTTTCAGTTGTAATGTCACCGTGGCCTTTGTGTTTTCCATTTCATTCACTGCTACACATGTGAAATTTGCCTGAAGATCCTCCTTTTTTATTTCGGTAATATGTAAAGTGGTCTCTCTATAATATTCTTGATCATGTCCTTCAAAACTAATAGAGAGAAAGAGCTGTTACTGTTGGCTGTTAATAGCTACGCACAATTTGCACAAAAGAAAGATTATTCCATGTTTTATGTACTTACAAAACAGTTTCTTCATGAAATCTTGAAAAATCGAAGTATTTTACTGGAATGCTATTCACATCCCATGTGACAACAGCTATAGGCTGTTTCTTAATCCCCAGGCGGGCCTGACATTTCAGAGACAAAGCAGCACCTAATCAAGATATAGGGACTTGTAAATATTCCATGAAGACGATAAGTATAACTTTATTTCCCTCATAACATCTTTTTCTACAAATCTTCACACTACCTTCCAGTTTTGCCTTAATGATTTTGACTTTTTTTCTGAACTACAGTTGGAAAAGAGTGCATAGAAGATACTCAAGAAGAAATAGTAAAGGAAGGTTTAAACAAATAATCCAGTGCAGCAAAAAGGATTACAAAAGGATTTATGTTAGTATTAGGTTAGGAAGGCAATGCAGACTTCACTGGATGGTGTTTAACCTACTTAAGCAATTACTGAGGAACAAGAAAAGTAAATGGTGGTTTGCACACAAACTTACACGGAATGACATCATTTAATTTCAGTACATGTTATTTCAGATAAGCTTGTGTGCAGACTAATGCCTCAAGTTACGTGGGATGAATCTGAATCACTGAGAACATTTATACTCCTAAAGAAAAGGGAGCCAGAGCGCAAGCTTTGCATCACTGGCTGTCCACACTGCTATTTGTTAGTTCACTCCCTGGCCCTGTCTTGCACCGCTCCCACTGTCTTCCAACCAGATAGATCTGCTCTACAGGAAATAACCCAAGCCAATATAAACATGAGCCAGCTGATGCTCCTTGGCCTCAGAACCTGCAACCACCCGTTGCTCTCTTCTAGTCATCAGTAGAGAATACTGTGGAGCCACTGTGTCCAAATCAGAATGACAAGTAGGAAGTTCCTAAAATAGTTCAAACTTCTCTGTAAAGGGTACCATCAGATAGTTTCAGAGGATTCAGTTAAAGCCCTCTTCGAAGAGCACGGAAGCTGTTGCCTCTTCAGCTGAGATGTGATAATTGACTGTGCATATAATCCTAGCCTATCACAGTGAAAGTAAAATAGGTTGTCTAAATCCCCTTAAATTGCCACTTAATGCTAAATAGCCCATCAAATATAGCTAAATCCACATCACTGCGCCAGGGGTGAATTAAAACAGGTAAAAATTATAGTGCAAAAATGTAATGATCAATTTCATTATTAAATCTTCTTGAAAATCCCCAATTTCACTAGGCCATCAAGAAATTTTGTTTTAAGAAGAAGTGATTTAAAGTCTGTACTTACCAAGATCCACTTCTATTACATCCTTATGTTTTGGAAATAAAATTTGAGGAGGCAGTGGTGAATATTTTACTTTAGAAATCAAAGAGAGAAAGAATGCACATATTAGAAGGGTGTAAAAATGTGTTTTATAAGACAATGAATATAATCTGTACTGCTACAACTTCAGCATCTCAAAGTAAAATTGCAAACTAACACTACAACAGTGTTTCAGATGTCTGCTGGGATTATCTGATTTCACCCCTGTAACAAAAACTTTTCTGTTTGAATTTACATGTTAATAGTTTAAATATTTTCTCCCCACTTACTTAGTTTTTACATTTGTTCATAAAAAGAAAGGAAAGGAAAGGTTTTATTTTCCCAAGTGTTGTTGCACCTGCTGAATGGAAAAAAGCAAATACAGCTATAGGTTTCTTGGTTTTCTCAGTTGCTTATGTTGCTCTTGAATAGAGCATACTTTTGTTTTTAAAAAGAGATGAAGTAATTCCTTTAGACATTTAAAAAATTGCTCATATCAATGGTATAAAATGTATGCGGTACATGAAATCGCAACCCACTAGCCTACAGCCGCCTGTGTTCACCTCTGTTTCCTTCCCTCTGTAGCCTGACATCTGAGCATGTCCAGATCCTGGGCCTCTGTGCACTGTTTGCGCACATTAGATACAAAACTGCTTCCCATTACATCAGTCTGCAATGACATTGAACAACCCTCACCATAAATCTCTATGGTTTATGGGAACACTACTTTACTTTCCCTCTCCAACAGTAATTGATATGAACAAGTCAAACTACATCCAGCCACTTGACTTAGGCATTCAGCTCTTCGGGATTTTTTTCCCTGTTGCATTTTTCTTCTCTTCTTGCCCTTTATACTACCCTGTATTTCCCAGTCCAACCACTTTTCTTGCTCTCTTTTCCCTCATTAAGCTTTTATTTCTCAAGGCACCTCTGTGAATCCCATACCACCATAGTTCTCCAAAAAATCTGCAGGAACCTATTTAACTCCCTGGTTGCCAGGATGTCAAAAGAGCAATTCTCTTCCTCATCCTAACTGTTTTTAATTGTCATTAGCTGGATGTGGGAAAAAGAGATGTCCGGAGAAAGACAGTAATGTCATAACTATATAGCAATGCTAATTTCTTAAGAGATTGAAGGTCCTCTGGGTCTGTGTGGATCTGCAAGGCAACAGGGGCTTACTTCATTTACTTTATTATCAACACCACATAATAGCTTCACTCAGCCAGCACACTAATTGTAAGGGCTAATAATAACTCGAGGAAGCTGGTGTTAAGTATTTCGAATTTCATAAAAACTCTGAGGCGAACTTGAGAGACTCAACTCATATTTCACAAGTTATGTTGCAAACTCTTCTTTCCACACTGATTTCAAAAAGGTTAAATTAGCTTTGAAATGATGGAATCGGCCTGGGTGTGACAAAGGCTTCAGTGATTTTGGGCAGCTTTGTGACAGATAAAAAGCATCAGTTTTCAATATAACTCAGACAGGACACTATCCTTGACTGGTTAGAAAAGTTCTGCTGAAAGCACATTCAGACAAAGCTGAAGTGTTAGGCAGAGAGGTATCATGTAGACCAACAGCTTATTACAGGGCAGAGGGGAGAGGAGGCACTACAGCTCCTAACCTAGTGTAGTAGTCTTCAGTACAAATTTCTCCAGTCTAGCTCAGAATAAGCAGATTTAAAAGCTGTACTAAGACCAGGGCACAGCAGCAAAAGTGGAAGCAAGGCTCCTATCTCCTAAATCAGTATTCTGCCCACAAAGTTGTATGCCTTCCAACAGAAAAAAAGCTCTGATATCAATCTGCAAATGAACATTATCTATTTCTACAACAAAAGAAAAAACAAAAAACTTCTAGCTCCTTTTGCATTGATCTGATTGCAGAACAGCAGACACATTTTGAAGCCTTGCAAGTTGATAAAAAGCTCTTCCCCTGACTGCTGTCCAAATACTAGGCCTACCTGAGGAGACTTCGTCCTAGAGGAGACCCCAAAGTCCACACATCTCAGCCATGTCGGCCATATTCAAAATAACAAAGGCAGAGTAATCACTGAACTCCATTCAATTTCTGCCTATGTGTATACCCCAGTTTGGTCCCACACAGAAGATGTCTCATTCAGGACAAATGCAAAAGCATTTGTTAGCCCTTCTGTCAAATAAATGATAGATAATCCAGATGCACTAGAAGGTATCAAGTTGTAGGCCATTAACACATCAGTGATCCAATGAATCAGATCACCAAGTGATCCTCATTAGCTACATATCTTTCCTCCCCCAACAAATAGAAAGCAGAGCTTTGTGGCATCCCACCAAAGAGACCCTTCACTCCAGAAATGAGCACTATCAGACAGCCAATGCAACCACACTATGTAACCAGTGCCATCAGAGACTGTCATCAAAAAAATGAATGAAGCTACGTAACAATGTAGCCCTATCCTACTGCATTTGGATCCTCACCCATAACATTCACATATAAAAAGCTGATTTAAAGTTTCATCAAGACACAACAAACCAACAGAAGATCTCTGTAAGATTAAAAAAAAAGTTTCCTTTGCTTTAAGGAGACAGGAATCTTAGTAAGCTACAAAATGACCATCTTACCGTTACTTACGAAAATTCTTGTTGCTGATACATTAAACACTTTTCCATTGTGTGTGTAGATAAATTGACAAGTATAAAATCCATCATCCTCTTTTCCTGGATTGTTAATATAAATATATTTATCTCCCTTGAAGTATCTCTCTCCTTGTATAGGTTTGCAGTCCTTGAAAAGATAGCTTTCGTTATTTGGCGGCATATAGCTTCTCATAGTGATCTGCTTTCCAACTGCGCTACCAAGGTTTTATTTACCTTATACCACTGGATGATAGTAGCATTCTTGTAATTGTCAAACGTGGGACAAACAATTTTTCCTCTCCCAGTGTTATTTGGATAACGTATCTGACTTGGGAAACATATTCCTTGCTTGTATGGATGCACCTGCACACTTATATTGAACTCTTTTGTGCCATTATTTGAACTTTAAAAATAGAATAAAGGTGTGTAAATGACAGCATATTTATATGGAATATATTGAATATTTGTAGGAAATGTGAGTCCTGTTTTATAAACACATGGGTGATTACTGTAGTTCAGTTACAGATTGATTTTTAGTTACCTTTTATAAAAACAGCAATTGCAGAATGAAAGTTACATAAATTGATGTACACCATGAAAATGAGCATTGCTTTCATAGACAGAAGAACAAATAGAATCTATTATTAAAAAAAGGATTTTTTTCCAGTCTTACACTTTTCATTTTTCAGTGTTCCACTTACTAATGTATAACACAAGTATAGTTTCCAGAATCTTCTCTAGAAGTTGGCAGAAACCAAAGAAATCTTTTTGAGGAAAATATTCGTGATCCGTCTTCTTCTGCAGGAATTATTTTATTACTGTCTGTGTGATACCAGGTGATTCTCACATACGAACTCCGTGGGGGGCATTTTATAACTAAAGCATCACCTTCCATTGCATCAACTGCAAATGAACAAAAGACAAACGATCTCAGATTAATTAAAACTTAGCCCATTGAAGACAGCAGAGATCGGTATTTCATCCTTTACATTTTGTATCTGCCCAGTAGAAAAGCACAATCCAATCCCAGAAGAAGCTATGCATTCATGCACCACATCCTGTGACCTCCCTGCATAGTTTTGACGCTTTCTAGCACAGGGCCGCACCATACTGCAGCTGACCCACAGAAACTTTAAGCAGGCAATACTGACAGATGGTTTAAGTGCCCAAGTATCTGACTAATGAACTGGCTGCTGAAAATAGATACTCTTAAATGAAATTTAAATTGCATTTTGGAGAAAAGAAGGATGAGAAAATCAGCAAGGTTGGAGACTGGGCAAATTGGTAGAGGAGTTAAAATAAGTCAAGGAGCAAGAAAAGAGAAAAGGTAGCCAAATAAAGAATAATGGGGAAAGTATCTCTATCAAAAATGACACTCTGGAGAAGTATTCCCACTTCCTGGCTATAGATGCGTAGATGCACAAGTCAGGTCTATCAGGTGAACAGTTGGATTCTGCTCTGGATCTCTTCCTGAAGAAGCTGTCTTTCCCTATTGGCATTACATACAGCCTTGCTTCCTAACTCAGGCATCTAAATTAGGCATATCATGTATGAATATTCCCAAGCACGACATTTTCACACCATTGTCTCTCATGGCCCTGCAAATTCAGTGGGACGTGTCAGGGGTACAAACTGAGACACAGGCCCTTCCATCCGAACATGAGGGGTGACTGAGCACTTGAACTTGAGAGGTTGTGGAGTCTCCTTCCCTGGAGATATTCAAAACCCGCCTGGATGCGATCCTCGGCAATGTGCTCTAGATGACCCTGCATGAGCAAGGGGGTTGGACTAGATGATCTCCAGAGGTCCCTTCCAACCTCAACTGTTCTGTGATTCTGTGGGTATCACGAAAGGGGGGCACTGCCCCACCAAGAAAGGAAAACATTGGAAATACAGCATTCTTCAGGAAAATGGTAGAGGAGAAGAGAGAACATAGAGAAAATGAGAGGCCTCATCTAAATTCAATGATATCAGTGAAAATTATCTTGGCAAAACTTTCAACAAAATTTGGCTTCTTAATACTGAAAAACTGAGAATATGGGGTAATATTTAGAGATATATATCTTACAATATTTTTTGGACAAATAAGCAGCCAGGCTGGAGACTAGAACAACCTGAGTGCTACCTAATGCTATGCCACTGGCCAGTAATGATTGCAGGGACAGTCTAGCTGACCTGTCAGGAGGAGCCTATTGTTTTGAATGTTCCTCATGTCCAGTGGAGCACTATTATTACATTGCACTTGCGGGTGAACATCCCACAAAACAGGATATTAGAAAGCATTTTTAATGAGCAATGGGCCTAGTCCCAAGGAAGGTCTCTAGTTCAGCAAAGAACATATTCATGTGCCCTGTTCAGGGAGACCTAAACATGCTTTTGGAAACTTTGCCCAACTGTTGCCTAGAATACCAGCCGTTCTCAGATCCTTTCAAAGAGAGTCTTTCTTTCAGCTTTTAGAGATGCCAAGGAGCAGAAGAGGAACCTATACTTAATGTCACAGAAATGGACAGTCCTTCGTGCATTTTAGTATATGGAGAAAATGGTACGTAAAGCTAATTTTAAGCTGTAATTTGTGGCTTGAGATAAACTCACTAATTTTACGTTTAATAAAATGCTAATTTGTTAACAGTCTACACATTTCTGCAAAATGAACATAATCACAAAATATATTTTTATAACGTGACTTACATGATTCTGATGTCATGGAAACCAAGAAGAAAGCAGATAGGAAGATCAAGCATACATACCCCATTCTATTTCTAAATCAAAAAGAAAAGGATTGATATCTCAGAATACACTTTGACTTCATCATTTATGCTACTGGTCTGTTACTGATGTGCATCTACTAACAGATAACAATGTCATGCAATGATAAACTGAGTCATATGAGGAGCTCTGTACAGAATGTGTGTGTGCGTGTGCGTGTGTGTGTGTGTGTGCGTGTGCGTGTGTGTATGAGTGTGTATGAGTGTGAACATGTTTACATGCAGCTTTGAGACTATGCTCTTTGTTCTGTTATCTATTGCATCAATGCAATATCTGATGTTCCTTTGGAATTACTGTTATGAGTTAATTTAATGGCGGGTAAAGATTACTCTGCCAGGCTGGGCCTCAGATAGAAGCTGAATGCACTTTGGCTTTCTCTTCATAGTGAAGTGTAAAACACATATACCTTGATTTAAAAAAGAATTGATCATGTATTTGAAAGTATATACACCAGCTTTGAATCAAGCCTACATCCAATCATCTGCTTAGGTGCACAACAACAGTTTCTTTCCTTCCTATTGAAGTGAAGGTATCTTCAGTGATAGCTTCTCATAGGTAAGTGGTTAGCAATAAGAACAGAAACAGATGAGTGCCACCAGCAATACTAACCTGAAGGAGAAGCGAAGAAATGGACTGGAAAAGTAGGTAAAGGAATATGTATTGCACTCTTTTAACAGCAGTAGGGCTGACATTGTGCCTCATTGATGTGTTTTATTTGTGTCTAATTGACATGTACCAGCTGTAATTCAAACTTGGCCATGTGGCTTAGGCATTCCCCAGGAAACCTCTTTATTAAAGAGACCGGCTATATGTTTGTGGACATTAGCTTTGGCCCAACCTATGAATATCTCAGGAGACAGCAGACACATAATCCAACTATATTCAGCAATTTTAAGCATTGTACTTACCATTAACAAAGCTTTCGCCTGAACACGCTCCTTAACTGCAGATTACAGAGCGATGGGTTCTATCATCATATATACGGAAGAAGTGGTCCCAGGGTGCTATAGATGGTAGATAAGTTTTCAAGAGAGAACAAGTTGGAAATGAATTATAATACTTTATCTTTCAGGCAGCAAACACAGGAACAATAGTGAAAAATAAACAAAGAAATTACAGGCAGAGTAAGTGCTGTCGTCACGCTTACTGCAAGGAATTTTTATTTCAGTGCCAAACATTTCCAGACTAAATAAACATTGATGGGCCTTATCAAAATCTATGTTTATGCCAAGTCTGAAATTTAGAATAAACTTTAAGTGTATATGATACTTTGCAAGGACAGCCACAAATCGCAGAAAATAGGAAGTTTAGACCAAAAATGGCATCTCAGCATTAATGGCATGGCAAGGCTGGTGCCATGCCTATAGCAGGAAATAAGTGACCAGCTAAGAGCTGCTAGAATCAATTTGGAAGGAATGAATTGTTTGGTCCAGAAGGCAGTTCAGGAGTGATCTGGGACACTGTAGGCCATCAGGGAACAAGGATACAGTGCAAAACAACACACTAACAAAATTCACAGCATCAGCACAGTAAAGCATCTGTATTTGCTCATCCTGTCAAGCAGAAGCTTCTAACGCTCTCTAACATCATCTAACATTAGCTATCATTTCTAACACTATCAGAGAGCAAACTAGATTGGCAGGTAGGAATGGGAAGCTGAGTTTCACACGACCAGTTTATTAGAGGCCTGAATCTAATTCAGGACTTGAGCAGATTTATATCTGCCGACAACTCTATTGACTTCATTCATCAGCCGAGATCTGCTTTGATAGCAGTTGGAAAATGATATAGGGACACATGGCTCCATATTCTCCTGAGAAACAGTTCACTGTTCAGCTGATATGAGCAACATTTGATAAATACATTTGTAGTGATCTTATGAGTAACCAACCATGATAAAAGTTTTTCTGCCATGCTGAATTGTGCACCTTATATCCACAATATATGAGATACCTACATATTCCATTTCTTTCTCTGGATAAAACTGAAACACTGGCATCTAGCTCTATTCTTCCTGAGATCAGATTTTCCTTGACTTGGTTTCACTGCACCTTATTATGATACACATTTGCTCTAAAACAACCCTTCATACCCTGTATTAATTTCTAATCAAGTTACTCTTTTGCTACCTATTATCATATGTATCCTTATTAGTTCAAATCAGCTTTTGTCAGCATATGTCCCACTTGCTTTTTCTCATAGAAATGACTTTTTGCACTTCCAGCTCATGAGCTTTCCACATCTGCTAGATATTTGAGGGTCATTCCCAACAATTCATTGTCTCTAGTTACAGCTGATTGTTGCAGCTTTGCTGCTTAGCATTGGCTTATGCAGACACAACTTTTTCTTCCTAGAACTGTCTGGCCAGATGACCAGTTTTGCAAGCTGCCTTAACTATTTGGTACCATCATACGTTTGTCATGCCGTGCTTATTCTGGAGTGGGATTGATGATAGGGCTGGGACTACAGCAAGAGTACACATAATTGGGAGCAAGGGTAGGTGAAACCATTCAAATGGTATTTATGTAACTTTCTGGAGTGCTTTTCCATCAGGTATTGAATGTATATATTATGCAAAAAATATATATGTATATGCATATGCAAACACGCTATGCAAGACATAAGCCGCAGCAGAGCTAGTTCATACAATTGAGATTAGATGCATCTATATCAGCTCAATCTCCACAATGAATAGTCTGCAAATAGACCCTAAAAGTCAGCTAAATGAAGAACTCTGAGCTGAAGAGTAACTAGAATCTAATAGCATTGAATTATTTGAATATTAGTAAATAAATAGGCATGAAAAAGATTCAGAATATCTCTTCTCTTCTACTGTGAATTTTTTCCTCCAAGTTTTTGGTTCTGTTCTGTGAACATATTTGTCCCAAAGGAGGTATGCCAGCAGCTGTATCTATTTAACTGTTCCACTACTTTTTAGAGCTGTTCTGTTAAGCAAGAAGATACTTAAGCAAGATGATAAAGAAAAAAGATAGATTGATTTTTAAAGAAAATCAGTTTCAAAGACTAGATCTGGAGACTGCCTAAAGTCATGCTCTTTCTCATTTGATATTTTATTTGTAAGCATCTATTTTGTGTTTGGCCACAACTGACACGACTGTAAGAGATACTGGTGATTCATTCATTACAATTGTTACTCCCAGCCCTAGAAATTTAAGTTTGATCATTAATAAAAAGTTGCAAGGAGCTGTGCTTTCACTGCTTTTTGAAGGCAACTTTGTTCAGGAATGGTTGAGAGCCAAATATTCACTCTCATCGACTCTTCTAGTAGGGGACAGAATGATCCAGAGATAAGAACTTTGTATTTGCCTATTGCATTTGCTAGTTGTTATATTTAGCTTGCTGTTCCTTGAAAAAGTATGTCTTTGAGAGATCTTACGCATACTGGGCTACCAACATACACCAAGGGTGCAAAGGGGAACAAATTAGTTGTGCTGCAAGGATAGATTCTCCCCAGCTAACTTTGATGATCGCTTTAGTAATTTACTCCACATTTTTAAAAGTCACTTTGTACGGGCAGCAGTTTAACTAGAGTTCAGGTTTTATGTATGCACTAAGTGCAATATACGGGGCTATAATTAAAGAAAGAGGAGCATTTCCTGAAAATACTGAGCTTGAGGAATTAAAAGAATAATAATTTGAATCTGTTTCATTTTTCACCTAAGTCAGTGGCAAACCACCAAATTACCTCAAAAAAAGGGAAGCAGAGGTGGCACTTCTAGACAACAAATAGCAAGATAGGGACTAGTGCTTTAGGGTTTTTTGTGGCATTGCTCTACGCAAATCAAAATGAAAGCATCCAAGCATCTGTGATACTTGGATCAAATGAAAAGGATATTATGAAACACAAGGCAAAGGCAGTAAGACTCCTTATGTCCCAGTCAGAAGGAAGAAGTTCCTGTAGCTTGAAATACTGCGATACAAAGGCCATGATTTATGAAAATAGCTATGAGAGGATGTTTCTTTCTCTCTGCTTCTGCAAATTTGTTTAGAACTTACATTTTATTACATTTGTCTGAACATAAAGCTGCATAACAAATGTTTGTGTCTTCGGTATAGTCTAAACTTAGATTCCTAATATTCAGAGGGGAAAAAAAGGAAAAAGACACATTTTCCATAAATTTATTTCCTCATATAATTCACCAGTGTTTTTCGGATGACTGCATTTTATGAGCTTAATTCCAAGCTTCCCTCAGGGACGAAGACTTCAATCGAATGCTGAAAAAAAACACTTGATCCAAATAAAGCGCATTTGGCACAATTTTCTTAACATGCCAATTTACAGCTCCTAATGATCCAATTTCAAACAAAGACAAAAGAACTGGGAACTCCACAGTTATGCTACAGGAGTAATAATCTATAGCACTTGACTCCTTGCTTGCCCAAAGGCAACTATGGTAATAACATATTTGTGACTTTTTCCGAAATTGTATTTGACAACAAATTGCTTATAGTACTGTTTACATACGTGAATAACCGTAACGAAAGTACCATACCCTGCATTCTAAAAAAAGATGAAAATGTTAGTCATTTCTAGTTTTAAAAGCTTAACAGACTCTACAGTGTAAAAAATGCCATAAAATACCAAGAGTGTGAGATATGTTTACTAAGATACAAGTCACTCATTCACCTTCTGAGTGTTATTTTCACTCTTTTAGCAAACCAAAATACCTGCTCTGACTGGAAATGCTATTAAAACAGCAAGAGCAGCATTGAACTTATTCTAGACCTAGCAATCACAATAGTTAACGTACACCAGGCACAGTTGTAAGTAAGTGTGCAATTTAGGAATTCCAGTACTAAAATATGGCAAGGTGAGAATTGCTGTATGCATTATTCTTACAAGATTTTAGAAACAGGAAAGTGCATTAATGTATTAAATTCTGAAGAATCTTTTACACGGTAAATATTTTCCATGTCTTTCAATCATTAGTAAAAATATGTCAGAAAGCAGAGGATAAATCCATTTCTAAGTATACTTCATTATAAGGGAAGTCTTTATATTGGTCCCAAATTAATTGTCTACCACATAAATGTATCCTCTTTATTAATCTAATAATTTGTCTTGAGATAGAGAAGCACCTAAGTGAATTGAAATAAAGTTTCTTATAAAATACTCTTTCCAGTAGCATAAGTTATTATAGGTTAAATGATAATGTAAAAATTCAACCTACCATCTGGAAAATGCAGAAAGCAGACAATTGGTTTCGTCTGTGTGACTAGCTGGGTCCTTTGCACTGATTTCTGTACTGCAGCATGTACCAGAGATTATGGGGACCTCTTTTTCACTGACTATTTATCTGTAGGAGCAAGATATGCAACTTCATTTTAAGACACCTCCCACTGAACAGAACTTATCTGCTAGTAAGCATGCAAATTACTTTAGCAATCTTGGGTACCTATCAGAGATGACATCTCGTAGTTCAAATGAATCATATCTTTTCTACCAGCAGAACACATTTGCCATTAATCACAAATCATGCAATTTTAACACGATTATATTGCAATAAGTTTCCTGGCTATTATTGGCTTTCTCACGTGCCCTGAGAGAACAAAGAAGGAACACTCAGACAGCAGAGGGTGTTTTATAATCGATTTTGTTTGAAAACAAGTGACATCTTTGACAGGAACTTGAGCTCGCAATGAGAAGTGGAAATACACGACAGCTGCATGAGAAGGTCTAGTCAGGCAGCAACTCCTGGAAAATATCTATAAATATCACTGCAACAACAGGAACAGTTTTCAGTGAGGGCAACTGCTTTGCTGAAGTTAAATTGATAAAAGAAGGCAGCTGAGAAACCAGTTTTCTGAACGCGAAGCTAAATAAAGGGAGGGAAAGGAGGCTGAAGGGCAGAGCAGTTTCACAAGAAACCCAGGAGCAAATGTGGAAGAACAAGTGGGAGTGGGAAAAATTGCCACAGCTACGGAAAAGGCCAAGTGTACTGTGCTCACATGAGCAAGTACTTGCGAGACAAGGATTGGCTGCCGTACCACTGAACATCAGAAAGACAGTTTTAGGGAGCACCGTGCATGACAGCTGAGCAGCCTTGTAAGCGCTACTACTAAACACGGGCACATCAGACCAAAGGTCCCAAACTGTCCCTTTCTTGTACAGTAGCAAATCTAAAGGGCAATGTCAGTACCAAATCAGGTAAAATGCAGGGAACAAATCATCTTTGAGCATCTTTGCAGAATAACCCCAATGAGTTTCTGAAAATCCATGTTCCACTTTTTCTTTATCTAAGCAATAAGAATTCACTCCATCATCATTCAAAAACTTTATTTTTTTTCCCAGCAGAATTAATAAAGCTATTTATCACTTCCAGTGTGCCTGGGGATCTGCTGTGAACTGCAGCCGTTAACATTGTCAGCATTCATCAACTTCATATCAATATGCACAAATGTAGCAATTCTGCATACAGTTAAAACTATACACAAAAATCTTACCAATGTCACATCCATGCATTTCCCAACTCTTGGTATGGCACTTCCTTTGAAGTGCCTAGAAGTCGCAATTGCCAAACGACACAGAAAATGAGAAAGAGCTAAAAAAAAAAAAAAAAAGAGAAAAAACCTGAAACAATGAAATCCCACCATAGTTTGGTCAGCCATCCAGGGTCATCTCAGATTACCAGCTTGAAAACCCACAAATCACTCCCTGCCCAGGTTCATGCGGTTTTCATCAGCATAAAGGCCTTATCTCCTCACACAATTTCCTAGAGACTCAAGCAGAAAGTCTGGACTAAACCATCTTCATTCAGTGGTAGATTCAGCTTCCTTCAGTCACAACATGCCAGGTTACTCTAGGGAAAAGCTGAATACATCCACATCAAGCTATCTTCCAATGGCTGGATATAGAATGAAATCTTTCACCACAAAATTCTTTCAAAAAGTTAGGCCAGAAATGCTCTCTGTGGTACTCCAGACCTCAGGAGAGCCCTCCTGAGTCTGTTCCCCATGCCCATGTTGTTCCCAGCTTATGACACCAGCAGCAAACTAAGCTCCTGGCTAGGATATATAATTGTCAGCTTATCCTGAGCAAAAGCCATCCTGTAGCCTTCACGAAAAACTACAATCTGGGTTGAATGTTTTGTTAATTATTGTCTAGCTTCTACATATTTCCTATTTGAAAAGTATACGGAAAAATGTGTTTACAGAGAAATGGCAAGAAACTTCTCTGAGAAGTCAGATGCATCATACTTTCTTGCCTATTGGTAGTCTGTATATAGAGCACTACAACAAGCAAAAGAATCATCTCTTCTGCAAGCAAACAGGTCAAGAAGTAATGGCCTTAATCAGAAGTAGGAAAGATTTAGGCTAGACAGCAGGAAAAAACTTTTAACAGAAAAGATAGTGGAGCACTGGAATAACTTGCTAGGAATCTAGTGGAGCTGCCATGGTTGGAAGGTCTTAAAAAATATTTAGCCAAGGTATCAAGATGCTGTAGGTGGCTCCAGAACCCTGCCAGCACTGGGATTCAATGGCCCAGAGATTCAGCAGTCTTTGATCCAATGGCTAGTTTTGGGGCAGCACAGTTCTATGAACTCGGCCCAGTTGTGCTGACAAAATTGTTCCTGAGCTGTGAGAAGTATGTAAGCTAAAAGCATGCTAGACAAGAAAAGTGAAAACACAGGCAGATTGAAGTTATTGAGAAAGTAATAGTCAGGAGCCCAAGCATTCAAGAGAAAAAATGCTGCCATGGAGATAAAATACTGGGATAAAAGACAAAAATCGGAAGACCTCACCTCAGCAATACCAAGGTTCGGCTCTCTCCAAGAAGCAGTGAAAACCAACCTATCCCCACCAGACTGACAACTGTCTGGCCAATAGAGACCTGTCAGATGCCTCCTCAGGGTGGTAACCTTGTGAATGCTTAGCCTAGCAGCATGTTAGTTGTGGTTATCTAATACCTCTGTTAGCCAGCAAATAATTTCTGGGTACTTTCAGGCTTGTGTATGTCCTGCTTGCAGACAGTAGAAGACACGCACAGTAGAAGACGCCCGGACAGAAGCGAACCTGGAAGGGAAGGTTACAGTATAAACACTTCACAAGGCCAACCTAGGTAGCATGGGTGGAGTTAGCAAATGATCAGATGGCAAGGGAAGCTGATGTTAGGTGTGTCCACACCAGTGGTGAGTCTAATGCTTTTTTTGCTGGTGGGGTCCCACCCTGCTGAGAACTGCTGTGGAGGTGCATTGTCCTTCCTGTTCCTGTGTGTTGCGGTGCCTGCCTTGGGGCTAGCATATTCACTCCATGCTTTGTGCAAAAGGGAAATAAAACTCAGAGAAATTTTTCAAAGGTTGTAATATTCCGGTGGAAATGGACCCCTCCTTCTCCAAGGTGAGAGTTACTGCCAATCTGTACATTAATCATGCAGTCCTATTATCACAGGCACTGTGATAAATATGAATGGGCTTGTCGCCAAACAGCTCTGCTGGTTCCTTTCATTGGGGAGTTTAAGATAGTTGCTTGTTATCCCAAGAAGACACTGCTGGGGGAGGAGGGTTTGTGTCTACCAGAGGCATTTATCCAAGCACTGAGGTAAGATATCAGTGCACACCACCCCCGTTCCCGCATCCCAGCATCTTTCAAAAGGAAAACTGGTTACAGGACCCAGAGGAGAATCCTGCCATGCCCAATCAAAGGTTGGTCTGGATGAGAGACAGATCACAGCACTACAGCGTGCCAGGGTCCCGCACAACAGTAGGCGAGGACACGCACATGGACAGAAATTATTAATGAGATATTAAGTGCTACAAAGCCATCAGTATTTTCATCATACCTGTCTCTCTCTTTCATCCCACTAAGTCACAGCTATTAAGTTCCTCATCAGGTGTTCAGCTGTGACTTCGATATAATTGCCAGCTGATGAATCAAAGTTCAGAGGATATAAAATGGAGATGAGATTATCTTGGAGGAAGCAATTAGCCAGTGTGGAAATAATTATATCTGCTCTTTTTAATGTGACTGGCATGTATTTGCCTTTGAGTTGCACATTCATAGTTGGGGAAATTAATCAATCAATCACCAGCAGTTAATAAACAATCTTAACAATGGCAGTTATGCTTGTCAGGCCTAGTACAATATGGTTCAAATAAAGATCCTAACACCATCACCAAAGTCTTCGTATCTTAAAATCAGATTCCCTTTCTAAAGAAGTCCATGATTTCTCTGCTCCATGCCTTGTCCCAAAAGGAAAGCAGTTGAGCTGCTGTCCCACAAGGACTGGATACAGCCTAGCCAAAATGAAAACAACAGCAGCTGTTCTGAATGTCACTGGGCTGCCTGCAGGATCCCCATGGAGAGACCACAAAGCAAACTGGAGAGAGGATCGGTACAGTACATCTGTTGCTCTTATGGAAATAAAGATACTCCTCTGGGCCTGCAGGATCCTATGCTTCCACAGGCAGCCCCGTCAAGCTGTCTTGGATGACAGATTGCCTTACAGTACAGAGGTGAAAGTGAGTCTGAGCAGGCAAGGAAACCTATCCAAAGCTCAACAAAAAGAGAAGCTAACTCATCAGCCCAAACTACCTGCCCTTCTGCGTCCAAATAACTTCAGAGAACAGATTCAGAGCACAGAAAGAATATGCCTAATTGAACTCTCATGAATTTTAAACCAAAGGCCCAAGAGGTCATTGCTTTGTGCAACAGCATCTACTATTTTTCTGAAATCCTAGAGTCTTACAGCAAACCTTCGTCTCAGACTGCATAGGAAGCTAACTCTTCTTTGCAGTATTTACTCTATTTCCCGTTACTTTGGGAAAGGAAAAGTATTTAGTACAAGGTTGCTGTTCACATCTGACCTTTTCCGTAAGAACAAGGAGTTTTCCTACACTATTTCTTAGAAAGAAACTTCTACAAATACATGATATTCTGGAAGTCATAACTTAAATATTAAAGATATCGTTCTTACTAACTGCAGGACTAAAACAAATTGTCATTTTCTGGAAAGTCATTGAAGCTAACTTGCTGATGAAGTATGTTGTTTATAATAACATCTTACTAAATAGTCTTGTTTGTTCCTTAATGTGCAAGAATTACTGGAAGTGAATATCATACTGATAAGAGTGTCATGACATACTGGCAGAACGCAGGAACAGAACTTTAGTTGTAAAAATTATTTATATTTTTGGTAATATTACTATTCAATAAAATGTCATATTTTCTCTATAAGTTACTAAATGGGTTTTTAGAATAATATTTTTCATGAGAATTAGCTCACCATATTTACCATCAGAACTGTTTGCAGCTTGGAATCTGCA